ACTTGATCCCAGGACCCTGGGATCACGACCTGAGCCAAAGGCAGACGCTCAACCACTGAACCCTCAGGTGCCCCCGTATTGCTTTTTTCTTATTTGTTGAAACACACTTTATATTTTAGGAATATTAGGTCTTTATCCACATTTCGTATATCTTTACCAATTTGTCATTTGTTTTGATTTTGCTTATAGACTTTCTATTTTTGATTCTCTGATTTGTTTTCCCACATAGCAGTTTTGGTTATGTGGTTAAATTTATCAATTTGTTTTTCTTTTAAAACTTCTGGATGTTTTAGTCATCATCAGAGAGATCTCTCCTTGTTTTTTTCTCCTAGTACATTTATGGTTTTATTTTTTTATTTCATCTTTTGATTCATTAAGAATTTTTTCTGGTGTACATTGTAAAATTTGAGTTTTACGTTAATTTACCCCTCAGATGGCTACCCACTTGTCCTAACAGTATATATTAAATAGGTTATCTTTTCCCCTACTAATCTGAATTGTTATCCTTAATCCTCTTATGCATTTTGGTCTATTTTTAGACTTTTTATTCTGTGACTTGATCTGTTTATTCATGGGTCAGACAACACTACTGTACCTGTTAAGACTTTAAAATATAGGGGATCCCTGGGTGGCGCAGCGGTTTGGCGCCTGCCTTTGGCCCAGGGCGCGATCCTGGAGACCCGGGATCGAATCCCACGTCAGGCTCCCGGTGCATGGAGCCTGCTTCTCCCTCTGCCTGTGTCTCTGCCTCTCTCTCTCTCTCTCTGTATGACTATTGTAAATAAATAAAAAAAAATAAAAAAAAGACTTTAAAATATATTTCAATACCCAGAAGTTACAGTCCTCGTGCATTGCTCTTCATTGTTAGTTTTCCTGGCTGTTTTTCCCTATTCATTTTTTGAAAATGTACTTCACCATTATCTTGGCTAGTTAAAACAAAGTTATTATTGTATTGAAAGGATAAGAAAACTTATGAGTAATTGACATCTTTATGATGAGTTTTTTCTCATACTGAAACAAAGTATGCCTTTCCTTTTGATCAGTTCTTCTTTTGCATTCTTCAGAGTGTTTTAGATTTTTCTACCTTTAGCTTTTGTTCATTTTTTAAGATAGTTCTTAGATGTTCTGAAATTTTTGTTGCTCTTGTAGATTAGATCATCCCTTCACATCTATTGACACATATAAGAACAAATACAAATTAAAAGTAAGAGGTTTAATTCTCTCTGTTGAAAACAAGGGAAGAGATTTTCCTCCCCTTCTTTTTCTTAGAGCATTTTCTTTAGAAATTTATAATTAGAAGTGCTTTCTCTTCTCTTTGAACTGCATATAAATTCTTATGAAAACTGCATAGGCCTTTTGTCAGCTTTTCATCTGAGGAATGCCTTTCTCAAGAACTCAGGAATCATCTCCTTTCCATGTAAACATCCAAGGAAGATAGCACCCTATTTCCAAGTTTCCACAGGAGGGCAGGTGCCTAACTTTAGCTGACCTGGCTCCCAGTTGTAAAACTACCTCCTGTCATGGAAATATGAGAAGTTTGTTTTTTCTTTGTCAATTAACTAACACCGATGGACACTTCAATTGCCAGGTAAATTTAGGATGAACTATGTGAAATAAAGTGGTGCTGTTAATTCTTATGACTTAAGGACTAGTTATTGTCTATCTTGAGAACATGTATGCACTGTATTGGATTTGCCTTGACTATGTTGCTGAAGAGTGAGATTTCTCTCTGCCTTTGCAATCTCTTATGAGATTCCCTGTGATATGTATCACTTTCTAATTTAATGATCATTAGTAATAAAATTGTTTTTTCTCTACTGTCTTTGTGGAGAGGATTTCTGGATTGGGAGATTTTGTTTTTAGTTGTATTTCCTCACATTCAGTTAGGAGTTGTGTCACTTGTCCTCCTTCTTCAATTGCAGCCCCCATTTTGGACTCCGCAGGTGACCTTGAAGATGAAAATGTCCTCCCTATGTTGGCTAAGATGTTAAGGAAAAAGGAAGAATCTGGGAGCCTGTTGACTATGGAATCACTGTACCAGCCTTGAATTGCTTAGCTTTATATTTCTTTCATATGAGAGAAAAAGAAATTCTCTTGTTTCAGCCACTGTTAATTTTGGTTGTTCTGTTAAATGAGGCTGAATCAGTTATTCTAACTGATACACTGCCAGAAAGAATAACTTCAGATAAAATAAAGCCAAATCAGCTTTCTTATTTAAGCATCCTTTAACATTTAACTGTTTTTTTGCTTACACCCATGTACTGCAAGTCACTGATTTAGTTATCGAGACATGCATTTTGTAACCAGTTTATTTTTAGTCTTTTACCATGAAGCCATTTGTTCAAATTTAAATGTCCTCTAGTGCTTTTCTGGCTTTAAAAAATGACTAAGATGGACTTTTGATAATACATGTCTTTATCTTTTACAGATAAAAATACTAAACATTGGTCACATTTTGAGTATCAATCCACCATTAATGCATATGTTGGAATTGGCCTATGATGCTCTTAAGGGCAATCTTGACCTTCTCATAGACTCACTTCTACGCAGGGGACTGGAAGGGTCTTCAGCTTTTGTTAAAAGATGTTAATTCAGTTCTAGCTTTGCTGATGATTAAAATCCATCATTCTGTCCTACAGCAGCACTGGAGAATATCTCCAGGCACTTGTCAGGAAGTATAACATTAAATTCATAGCCACTTAGTATGAAGCAAATGCCATCCGAGAAGAGTAATATCTATGGAGGATAGCTTGAAGAATATGCAGTCTTTCCTTTCTTCAGATGATCTGAAATCCATCCTTAACTCAAACAGATCCTCCTAGGGCTATTTGTCTGGATGCTATTGTTTTGGTACCTTGTACAATGGCTTTTACTCAATTATATTTTGTTGTTGCAACTCCTGCCTACGTTTAAAGATATAAATAATAGCTGTGTGAAGTTATTCTAATTACTATAAGGCTATTATTGACTCAGTTATTCATTTCATTGCATGGTTTTTTTTTATGAGGTCACATGCAATAACTTTCTATTTGGTTTCATTACAAAACTGCATTTATAGAGTGGTTACTTTTGATTGAACGATTGGTTTATTTTATGGATTATGGATTATTTTATGCATTTTTGTGTGGCATATAGTTTACTAAATCTGATGACATCTTTTTCTGAAATGGACATCAGAATAAACCCTTGGCTTAATGTAGCTTCCCATTTCATACTTTTTCACATATTGTCTTTCTTTTTCATGATCTCTGTTCCTGTGACTTTTTCCTCTTTGGGCTCATATCTTTGGTTTTGTCTCTTTGGATTAAGGGTGAAGAAACCTACTTGTTCATTCTCTTTTTCTTAGCAGGATAAACAAACAAACAAAACCACTTTTTTTTTTTTTTAAGAGTGGAGAAGTTTCATTGAGCTTTTAAGAAAAGGAGCTTCAAAGTTGATAGCATTTTAGAATGATTATTTCAAGAAAAATTGGAATCTCTATTTTTCAGGCTAATAATTTAGTTACTTAGTATTTAAACTTGTTTAGGATTCTTATTTTATCTCATTTAAAAAAAATGATGATACATCCATGCAGCTGTAAATGCAAAAGAACAAAAAAGTATGGAATGAAAACTCTCCCACATCATAGTCCCCAAGTTCCTTTCCCTTGGAAGTTACCAATGTTATGTTTCTTTTGTACTATATTTTTGGGTATACTTTTTGTATAAGCATACAAATATATTTAAATGTTTTCTTCTGATTTTTTAAAAAGATTTTATTTATTCATGAGAGACACAGAGAGAGGCAGAGACATAGGCAGAGTTTGGAAAAGCAGGCTCCATGCAGGGAGCCCTATGTGAGACTCAATTCCCTGACTCCAGGATCATGCCCTGAGCTGGAAGGCAGATGCTTAACCGCTGAGCCACCCAGGCGTCCCTTCTGATTTTTTTATGGTAATATACCCATCTCAGTGTGCTGCCTTCCCCTTTTGTCAAAAATGGTATATTAGAGCTTCCTCCATCTTAGTGCATAGAGTGCTGCCCCATTCTTTGTTCCAGTGGCCAAGTGTCTTATGGTGATACTTTATCTGACCACTTCTCTATTCATGGTCATTTTAGTCATCGCTAATCTTTAAAAAATTGTTAATACAAACAATATTTTATTGGATAACCAGGTTGCCTATTTGAATCTATCTGCAAGATACCATCCTAGAAGTATGACTTTCAGCTCACTTTGTACATGTATTTTAAGTTTTAATGGATATTGCCAACTTGGTGTCCATAGAAGTAGTACTAATTTACATTCCCCCAGCTATTTTTGTATTACTTCTAAAATGAGGCCCTCAAAGCATCGAATTACTTTGTGTCATTTAAGTGTTACACAGAATTAACCATAGATGGTCTTTGCCCTTAAGAACTAGCATTCACAAGGAATGAATTTTTTCTAAGCACACACATATTTTTTAATTGACTGTTCAGCTTTTTGTAATTTACTTGCCCACATTTCTTTGTTGCTTTAGAAAAGTCAGGAAGAGTGAGCGTGGGAAACTGTCAGAAACAGCTAGGAAGGTAGTTAAACAGTAGTCCTCCCTTGCCCCAGGGCCCATCATGTTGTCTCAGACTGGCTTTCTCCTGGAATTAAAAGAGGCCTGTGGCTGCGGGAGATGAGGGTGGGGAGAGATGAGCTGGAAGTCTGGTATCTAAAAGTGGAAACTTAAACATAGCCTTGCTCAGGAAACTTTCCAAACTACAAATTACTCTTAACTTTAAGAAAAAAAAAAAAAAAAGGGAGGGGGCTCCAAACCATCCCCATGAAGGATTCTGATGTGAAAGAATAAAAAGGCAATTTACAAACAATGTCCTGTGCACTGGCTGGCAACAACCATGAAGAAACATCTAGTTTCCCAGGGGTGGGCCTGGAGACATAGCTCTGTCTCCAAATGGCTCTAATAACAATTTCTGCCCCTCTCATTTTACCTGTGAAATAAAAGGACAAATATATTTTTCTCTTTGTTAAAACAGAATCTCAGAGACTTCACCTGCTTTGCCCTGGGATCCCACGATGGAGATGTGGCCAACAGAGCAAGAATTTGAGAAGGTTGTGCTACCCGCCTCTATCACAGGCCTCGGGGCTTCTGTTCTCACTTCCAGGAGAAGCCAGAACTCTGCCTCAAACTCAGGGCCCTCCCTCCCAAAGTCGATCCCACACTATTGTGACTTATTCTCGGATTAATCCTTTTTGCAAAATCTGCATTCCAACACAGAATTACATGCTCATCTGGTAACATGCTCTTCTTTTCCACTTCATGTCTTTATGATCTTCCTGTGCCTGGAAGATTCTTTTCCCCATTTACGACACATCACAGTTCTAGCCGCACTGTGCATTCATTAAATATCCCCTAACCCTGCTCCAACAAGCTTTGTGGAATCTCTCCCTTGGCCAGATGCACGCTGCACTTTCTCATACTTCTCATCTGGCATTCTGGGCAGAGCTGCTTGTTTCTGAATTTGCTTCTTATCTTCCTCTGCATTGGATTATAAGCCCTTTTGTGGCACAAACCATTATCCTTATATCCACTGCAGTGCCTGACTCACTTGTGGGTTTTTTTTTTTTTTTTTTTTTTTTTTATTTACGATAGTCACAGAGAGAGAGAGAGAGGCAGAGACACAGGCAGAGGGAGAAGCAGGCTCCATGCACCGGGAGCCCGATGTGGGATTCGATCCCGGGTCTCCAGGATCGCGCCCTGGGCCAAAGGCAGGCGCCAAACCGCTGCGCCACCCAGGGATCCCACTTGTGGGGTTTAAATAAACATGCGGGTGTGCACATGTACACACCGACATGCACGCATCCATGTGAGTGTATTTAGCATAGGCATAAAGCAGTTATGATTAAAGTAAATGAATGAATGAGGAAGTGTTAACTTTTTTTCTTGTAGGTTGAACGATGGAAGACATTTATTATAATTGATGCAACCAGAAGATAGTGGTTCCTCCAAGTCTCATTAACCAATGGTTCTCAATGCTGTCAGGATCACCTGCATAAGATTATTAAAACTCAGGGTGCTGGGCCCCACCACCATCAGTGGGTTTGAGATGGTATATTTCTGACAAATTCCCAGGTGCTGCTGATGCTGCAGGTTCAAAGCACCAGATTTTGAGACCCACTGAAATAAGCTATTACTTGTGTAAGTATAGTGACATAATTATTCCTCAGTCACTTTTGTCTAATTAGCCCCCTGGTATGTTTCCTCAGGAGGATGTTTGATAGATTCCAGAAACAGTTTGGACTGTGTCAGTGTGTCAGTGGACTGTGACTGATGGGAAGACCAAGCTTCGTGGCGGGCATTGTTTGGGAATTCTTGCTCCCTCAAGCCTGTGAGGGAACCAAAGAAATCCTTTTTCCACGTCCCCTACCTCCCAGAGGAAAGACAGTAGACTTGAAGGTCAATCAGTATTTAAACTTTGGTGCTCTGTTGTGATAATGCCTGGGATGGTACACACCTCAAAGAGATAAGTGCTGTACTGACATGGAACTTGTGTGGTTTTAATGCCTAATTTTTTAAGAGAATGGAGTTACAAGTCCAGTCTATGGGATCCAGCACAAAATGAAAATGAGGGGTCTTTTGATAAAGAATTATGAAGAATTTCAGGGTGGCAATAGCAGAGCATAAAGTGCCTTTGAGGTCCTTCTCATGTAGAGCCCGTGAGACTGCTCAGGTCACGTGTCCATGAGGTTAGTCCTGACTTTGGCTACATAAGGGTTTCCAGCCATTTCTGGAAGAGAAAGCAAATGGCAGGGGTAAAAACAGGGTGAGGCAGAGGAATTGTATGATGCCTGTGGAGATGGTGGAGCAGGAGGCTGGAGTTAGAGCTGACTTTTCTGGCCCTTCTTTCTCTCCACTTTGTTACTGTGGTGCTTTTTCCCCCTCAGAATAGAGAGCAATGAAGGGTGGGCGTGTCCCTTAGGATAAATGGACCATGATGGCTTAAGAAAGAATGCCAAGGACGCCACCAGCCTGCCACCCCCTGCCAAGCAGGGAAGAGTCTGAGAAGTGCCAGGCTGGCTGGGGAGCAGTGGGTCACCCCAGGAGCCTACCAGAACTTAGAGTTGATGCAGTTCTCCCCGTCCAATGCTCTTTTTGCATCTTTTTCTTGAGGTGTTTTTTTTTTCTTTTTATGACATATATTATTTTTCTGTGCAAATTTTTTTTTTTGGAAAAAACATTTATTTTAAAAAAAAGGGATCTCTAGGTTTTCCATTAAGTGCCTCCTAGATGGCAAGCTCCTTGGGAGCGGGGATCTAGTCCCATGCCTATTGGTGTCCTTTTTTTTTTTTTTCCTTATTTAAAGATTTTATTCATTTATTCATGAGAGACACACAGAGAGGCAGAAACATAGGCAGAGGGAGAAGCAGGCTCCTTGCAGGACCCTGGGATCACGACCTGAGCCAAAGGCAGATGCTGAACTACGGAGCCACCCAGGTGTCCTGCATCTTGGTCCTTGTTCCCAGTACAGTGCTAAGCCCACAAAGTGAGGTACAGTTATGATGAAAAGTTGAACAGAATTGTTTCTGATATTTGCTCTGAAACTTCAAATATGCTTCATAGTATCTAGCATATTGTCACTGTTTAAATATTTTAAAAGAAAACCGCTAATTCGAGGGACACGTTTAGGTTATGAGCTAAAGTTTTGTTAGCTTTGTTATGGGATTTTTCTTGTTATAGTAAAACCCTTTGCTAGAATATGTATGCAAAAAAAAAATTAAGGCCTTTGAGAGTTAATGTGACACAAAGTTGCTGTGTGTGATCTGAGTAGCCAATTAATAAGTCTGGGCCTTCTTTTTTTACATTCATTAATTTGTCTTCTAATTGAGCAATCACTTAACACCCATTTATTGCGTCAGGCTTTTCTAAGCACAGAGGATCTTCACACATACAAGCAGACATAAGTACATGTGTACTAGTTCTTACCTTATCAACTGGTGTTCATGGAAAAGTAAAGAAAGAACAGTGTGATTATGACATGTGCCAAAATGGTAGTGGTTGTAAAAGGGCTCTGTGAACCTGGGGGAGGAGTCCCCTCTCTCTGCCTGGGAAGCTGAGACAGATTTCACCAAGGGGATGCACCTGAGAAGAATCTCCAGGAGTGGTGGATGAGCTCCCTGGAATTGGCCTCAAACTTCTCAGCATGTCAGTCAAAATGGAAGAATCCCTAAAGTTCCCTGCAGAGCTCGAGTAGGCTTTAAAAGATGGCCTAAAAATGTTTGGGAGCAACACATATTTCTATACACCCTATTTTTTTTCTCTCAGGCACTCACAGCTAGTTCCTATTCCAAGAACATAACTGTTTGACCACATGGTTCTTTTGTTGTGGTGAGCAGACTGTCCTTAATATTTTTCTTAAGGAGCATAATTTCTGTCCTCACCACCCTCTGCCCTCATATACTGGTTTCTTCTTTTCACTCCTCTTTTTAAAAAAAAGATCCTTGATAAAGCCTTGTTTTACAGAACCCTCTTGAGGAAGAGCTAATTAGTTTTCTCAGCAAAATTAAAGGTGAAACATCTTTGAGACTCATAGACCTTTATACATTTCTGAATTCTTCAATTTCCAGTAAGATTCCTTTATCTTCCGGTGGTTTTTGTTTGTTTGGTTGGTTGGTTTGTTTTTTTTGCTGATCATCATTTATAGTGCAAATAGATTCCTTAACTCTCTCTTAGGAGGGTGGAAAAGAATCTGTTTCTAAAGAAACCATGTGACACTTAGACTTTCATGATTACATTAATTTGGGGGAACATTTCAGTGTGACCCTTTTTAAAAGAAAAAGTGTACAAAGTTTCATCCTGCCAATTCTTTATTGTCTGCGAACTTGTTAAAAAAGGAGGCTCCTGAAGACCCAGAGTTCCTGCAACAGGCAGTTTTGACCTTGAGCAACAATTCTGTGTTCTCAAAAATGGCTTACAATGGAACCTTTGAAGCTTTGTGGAAATGAAAAGTATAGCAACTTCTTAGAACCTCAGGTTCTCTAGCTACTAAACTACAATGTTAGTTCCCATCCCATGATGTGTGATGATGTTGCTTCAGTTTTATTTCTTCATCATTGTTTTGAACAATGGGAGTGAGAGGGCATGGATAGATGGAGAATATCCCACATATGGTTTTGTTTGTTTTTATAGTGTGACACACATGAGTGTTTAATAAGGGTCTTCTGGTGATTGCTTGTGTCAGTCATCATTGAGGGAAGCACAGAAACTACTGAGTTTTGTGCTTCCCTAAGGTAAAGATACCCTGCCCTTCATCTCCCAAATTCTGCTCCAGCTTTAGGGGTGGAGGTGGAGATTGCAAGAGCTCAGAGAAATAGGTTTGATGGGAGGCCTACACTCTCAGCCTCCCAGGGAACTGCCATTCACCTTCCTGCCCCCACCCCCTCCCTACTCTTTACACAATTGGAGCAAAGAATGCTTTTTGTCTATTTATGGCTTTACTCTGCCTCCTTCATTCCTCATCACCTCCCCCTGCAAAATTTGAACTCCATAAGCAAAAGATGTTGCTACTAATTTTCAACAATTTCAGGACAGCTGAAAAGGTTGAAATAATTTGAGTTTGATTCTCTCCCCTGCCTCCCCTGCATATTTAACCATGGACTTAAAAGCAAAGTTCTAAGAGTTATTGAAACAGGGTTTACTTGGCAACTGTCACATCTGCTAGGGCATCAGTGTTCCACCCGTGTCCCTTCCTCCTGTGGAAACTTTCTTTTACATATTGCTTCCACCGCTAAAGACAAAATAAAGATGAAGTATGATGACAAATTCCTAAGAAATGTTTCACGATTCTCTCATTCAGAGTAAGGTAGAGTTAGCCGTTCACTTAAAAAACAAAAACCATCCTTCTCAGCAGAATTCACTTTTGTTTTTCTCTCTGTAATTTACTGCCTGGTTAGGGTTTAATAACACAATATACTCTAGTTCACTGCCCCCATAAAATTTGCAGGCGGAAAAACAGCTACAGTCGGATACGTTCCCACTCTGGGTAAAGAAATGAAATCCCAGAGTTTAATCTTGGTGGCAGTGGAGCTGTGAAATGATAAGACAAATCAAGTTTACCAGACATTTTTGCTGAGATCAGGTTGCTAGCCACTCAAGCGCTGCAAGCCCCCTGGGGGCCTATCTCATTCAGCACACTCCCCTGCTCTCACTTGGCTTAATTTCTGAACATTTATTTATGTTGATTGTTAGTATCAAGTGATGCAATATTTTAAGAGTCATGAAGTAGCTGAATAGTGCTTCCAGAGCCTTTCCAAACAGAGAACACTCTTGCATACCAGAGGGGTTAAATCTAAAGTGCTTTCAACATGATTTTACTTTCTGTTTCTTAAGAGAAGCATTTTTCACTTCATTGGTATTAAAGGGGATGCAGGATGTTATGGGGTGCTGATTGTTGAATTACGAGAGATGCCTGTTTATGTGTCTGTTGCAAAATGAGAGTTTTTATGACCTGGGGATGGGTTTATGAATAGGCATTTGGATGCTAGCTGAAGAAACAGCCTCTTTTGTTAGTTGTCTCCTAGTTTTTAAACTAAAAGATAGGGATCCCTGGGTGGCGCAGCGGTTTGGCGCCTGCCTTTGGCTCAGGGCGCGATCCTGGAGACCCGGGATCGAATCCCACATTGGGCTCCCGGTGCATGGAGCCTGCTTCTCCCTCTGCCTGTGTCTCTGCCTCTCTCTCTCTCTGTGACTATCATAAGTAAATAAAAATTAAAAAAAAAATAAACTAAAAGATCACCTATTATCTGGTCCATTTAATTACTATCACATGACTAACTGAATGTATAATATCTCTCTTTTCATAGATAGTCTTTAGCATGAGGGCTGTTTGCAAGGCAAATCTGCAGATGCTTAAAAACCCAAACAAATAGAGTCCTAACAGGAGTTAAGAGCAGTACATTTTGTACATTGATACTAGAATTACTAAATGTTGGAGCTAGCAGCTGAGCCCTTGTTAGCCAGAATGCCTGGCCTCAAATCCCAACTTCACCACTTATAAGCTACCTATGTGGTCAACTCAATCTTGTGCCTCAGTCTC